CGTATGTTGTTGCATACTTGTCCGCCTTCACATGCCTTGCATGTTTATATGTTCATGTTGCATTTTATCATGTTGTTCAAGATTGTTACCTCACATCATGCTTATATGCCTGTTGCATGCTCGGATTATTACATTGTATGTTTGCATGCTTAAGTCATATTGCATGTTTGCCATGCTTGCTTTGCATTGTCGTTTGGATTAAAGTGTTAATCCGAGCACGAGGAACAAGGGGCGTTTCATACTTTAAGTGATGAAATGTATCTCAATTCTCAGTCGCCGACGCTCTTGATGATCCATGATAGAGTTCTAGGCACTTATGTGATTTTCTTGTGCATTCATTTCATATTGATTTGCACAAGTTGGATCTTTGGCCATCATGCATCGGGATGCGTGATTGATGGTCGTGGATCCGACTATGCCTCTCCCTTGATGTTTCGAGGTGATGTGGGATGACATAGTGCGTACATACCCTTGGGAGACCCTCATTTTTCTCTGTTTTGTGCTTTACTGCAGCTTGGTGTCCCAGCACATCAGTGGCCGGCAGTGCCTTGCAGATGGCCGGCAGTGCTTTGTTGTTGGCCGGCACCCCTTCATTTTTGGTCGGCAGTGGCTCCCCATGGCTGGCAGGCCACTGATGCACTCCCTAACATGTTTTTGATAAGGTTCAACAGGAATTCCTTGAGGACACCCTACAGACAGAGCCTCTAAAAAGCAACCAGAGAGCGTTTCGAGGCAAGAAACCGAATGCGAGCATGCATACCCTTCTGCTTCTGTGAACAGAGCTGGAGCGGCTTTATTTGTTTCTTTTCATTTGTAGTTAATTAATTTGTTAATTAATTAAGTGCTGTAATAATTAGTTATAGCTAGTTATTCAATTCGGTTATGTAATAATTAATTAGCTTGTTAGTTAGTTAATTAGCCGGCATGTATTATTTATTCGGACCCTCCGTCGAGAGGGCCAATTTTGTAATAAGTGTGCGTACATGTGTGCATGTCTTCCAACCCCACGTCTTTCTTCCTTTTACTTACCGCTTTTGTTGGTTAGTTTTAGGTCATTTTTCAACTAGCATACTTATGTTTTGCATGTTTGCATCCATTCATTTGTCTAGCATTCTTATGCCTGCATGTTTGCATCTATTCATCTATCTTGCATGCACCGGGCTCGGCGCATCATATTAACTGCATCGTATTTCAATTCCAAATTGAATACATGTATCAATTGCTGCATCTTATAAGCCATTTTAGGATAGCCGAGCCTGTTTCTAGTTGCATTTTGTATGCGTTACATTAGCCATCTTAACATGAACTAGGATCATGCATTGATTACTAACTAGCTCTTGTTTTGGCTCAGAGTACTAGGTAAGCTTTTATGCTTTAGTATACTACATGTGTGTCATTGATTGCCATGATAGCATGCTTGTCATGAGACTATTTGCTTAGTTGATATAACTGCCTAAATGTCTGTGGGTGAAGGTTGGATTGCTTGAATTGGAACAATTCGTTGAAATCCGTATTTTAGCCTACTTACGAGTAGCAAACTTCAAACTATTTTCCAAACAAACGGATATGCGATGCTTTGTTCCAAATTAGGCGATCTAGTCTATACTTGTTTTGCTGTGCACATCACATAGTAAGATTAACTAATTAACCGGAATAAGAACACATGTGTTTTCAAAAACAAGATATCATGTTTAGCAGTGGCCGATCTTTGATCGGGCGAGCAGGGGTGCTCATAGCTGACCTTCCCCAATCGTACCCAAGTTCCCGAGCTGAGGCAACTTTGGTGATGACGGACACGTGGCCTTAGGCACACGAGTTAGGGTTTTCTAAATTTCCCCCAAAATAAAATATTTAGGTGGCGACACTGTATCCTGGCAAAGCAGTCCATGTTTGGCACTTCTTTCTTAAAAATCAGTTTTCCAAAACGATTTTCTGGATTTGGACTCTTTAGTGATTTATCGGTCTTGCATTGCACTTTGTGAGACTAGATTCAGAACCGTGACATTTGAGTCCGAACTGTAGCATGAGGCCCACGGGCGCGTCTACAGACCTATCCCAAGAGTCTATCCCCGTCTTCGGATCCTACATAACACAACCAGATGGAGAAAATAGAACAGTGAAGCCGAGATTACAAAGTTGTCCAATAAAATAAGATTAATCATAAGATTGGGGATTAGATAAGTGCCATGGAGAGAGACATTAGAAGTGGAAATATGGCCTATATGACTAACATGCATTTGAGAGCCATCAGCAGTGTGAATAATAGGTAAATTAGAAGAATAAGAGAAAAGTGTAGCGTCAAAAGTCATATTGGTTGCAACAAACTAAATCAAAATACTAAGAAGGGATACTTAGAGTGACTAAGAAAGCAGTAGAGGGTGTACCTGAGGCTAAAAGAACCTTTTTTATAGCTTCAATGTGCTGAACAGTATAGGTTGGTGAAGTTTCAGGAGTGAAAGATAAGCCAGGGGCAGCTGTAGTAGATGCAAAATGAAACGATGACTAACACTGATTGTGTGTTGTAAGTGGTCAAAAGAGTCCTTATGTAAAGGAGAACGAATTGAACAATCCATGGAGTGATCAAATAATGAATCACAAAGAGAACCAGTAATGTCGGAGTAGAACTAGATAAAACAGAGTGCACCATTGAATCTAAAAGGTCAAAAATAGTCAGGAACTAGGTTTAGCTGGCCCAAAATAGGTCAAAAAATTAGTGAACCAGCCTGATAAGAGCCTGAACCAATGCAACAACTAGGGTGATGTTAGCGTAGGGTAAGACTAACGTCAAAAAGTGCATGGCACACGTTAGTAGACGGATGCGCGACATACATTAGCTAGCGGAAGCGTGGCTTATTGTAGTAGCAAGGTGACGTCGGTGAAGACACAATAGGCATGCTAGGGCTAATGTCAATAAGATGTAGCGGAGAGGCGCGCGAGTGAGGGACACGTGGCGCGTTCACCTTTAACAGAGCACATGACAGCGCATAACGCGACTGGCAATGACGTAAAGCAATACGCCAACCAAAAGACGGTGCATGGAAGTCCATGAAGGGTTCGTTGTGAGAAGACAAAGGTACTAGTGGCTTGACTTTAGGATTATGACCACTAGTGAAAGAGCAATAAACTCATAACCAATCAGGCTAGTTTGTTGGTACACCGAAAATTATTAAGAACATTGGTAAAAGGACCAAGGAAGTGAAGGAGCAAGTTCAGAACCTTTGCTCTAATACCATGTTATGATATTATAAAGAGAAAGTGATTGAGAGAAAAGAGGAACTTTGTATTATATTGAATAGTATAAACAATGAATATAAGACTCCTTTATATAAGAGTAGAGAAATCTATGTATAGTAACCCTAAGTATGGCAATGAGTACAATATGAACAGATATACTATATTTAACAAGAATATTGGTGGTTTTCCTATAACTATAGTTGATTTTTGGCAACTTTATTGTTTGTTGTTTCTAGTTCTTGTTAGGTTTTTTGTTTGGCCCTTTCAAGCTTTTTTTTTTTTTTTTTCTTTTCTTGTTCAGTATGTTTTTTACCTTTATTTTAATATAACTCTTTTATAACATTTCTCAAAAGAATAAAACTAATAAGGCCAAAAATAGAAGGGTAAATTACACTCACCTCTTTTGAGATTTGACAAAAAAAAATACAATTAATCTCACATTTTTGCATAATTATATTATTTTTTCTTTTAATGAGGTTAAAATATCTAAAACTAATGAAGATGGTAAATAGACACTATAATATATATATATATATATAAGATAAATATATATTATAGTGAAAAAGATATGATAATATTATTCTTAATAATTTATAAAATATTGATAAAAAATAAGTTTTATGTGAATTAAAATTTCTAAGGAGACCAACGTAATTATTTCAAAAGTGTAAGGCTATTGCAACACACACTTACTCTCTAAAACGAAAAGACACTAACATACAAAAACGGATCCCACTTTTATTACTTTTCGTTAACAAATAATTTTAACCATCTTATTGTGGATGCTCTGAAACCTACCTGGTAAACAAAATTCTTACATCTCATTGGTCAAAACAGTGAAATCTAATGTTTTAAAGATATCATTTGACTATTTTAAGACACTTATTTTCAAACCAGTGTAATGTATTAATAACAAACTGATTTATTTGTCAACAAAACTACAGTTTTAACTAATGCTACATGCTTTTGTACATTTCCAGCAAATAAAGTGTTGTCAAGGGAAATTATTAAATACTTCAGCAATAAAGAATCACAATAGTGAATTATCATTTGTCTCATAACTAACTAACAAAAATAAAATAAGATATTTTATCTATAAAAAAAATTACTACGTAATTAATTTGGAGCATCATTTTAAGGTAGAAGGATCCTCTGTCCCCAAATAATTATGTCCTCCTGTCCCAATTCACTTATAACCATTGGATATATCTTGAGATTTTCATATCTTAAAATTCTCGTATGATTCAAAGATTATGAGTGAATTGAAATAGAGAGACAGAATTATTTGGAGATAAAAGATCCTTGCTCCGCTTTAATTATATCGTATAATGCTTTGAAACTACTCTCCTGATACGTGAATAAACAAAATAATCCACTCTCAGACAAAAGTGTAGAATCCAATGTTTTAAGTGGGATCGTCTCACTATTTTAATCATGGATATAGAATTATTTTCTAACAGTGCAACAAAAAATTCTTATTTTTTATTTATTTGTCAACAAAGCTACAAGTATAACTAATGGTTACATTTTTTCATCATACCATTTTCGCCAAATAAATAGTGTTGTCAAATTTATATTCCCCATGACCAAACCGAGGGTTTCGGCTATCCACAGAGCTAAAACAAAACCAACAATAACTGACATGTCATAGGACAACCCAAATGCTAAAATGGGTGATTATAGGTTGTCCATTGACCAGTTCGTTATTTTTTCTATGTATTGGAAGAAAAGTTCTTTATAAAGAGGCAGGGAGTTTCTACATACCCTCTGCTTCTCAATTTTCAAAGAACTCTGTTCTCGAAATGGTTATGAAAGAGGCCTGAATAGAAGGAAAAAAAGATCAATTTTTGTTAGGAAGAGAGATAGAGAGAGTCCTCTCTTTCTTTCTTCCTTGATTTTGTTCCTTCTCTTATCATCATGGCCTCTAATATCTCCTTCGAGGAGATAAAAAATGAGCAAGTTGATCTCGTAAGCATGCCCGATACTTTCGTCTTCCTCTCAATTGTTCTATCACTTTTATCAATGCGCAGAGAATTTGAATTTCTTTAATACTGTGGTTGATTGGGAGATTTGAGGAGGGATTTGTAAAGAGAAAGAGAAAAATTAGATAAAATGTGAATAAAACTTACTTATATTTCACCTAGTTTCACACACCTTTTCCCTTTCTCTATCCAAATTCCTCAACCAAACACAGCATAAAGAGAGCAAAATTTTAATGCCACAACCTCAATTGTTTGCCACCAAAACTTTATATTTTTCTAATTTTAATATTTGGCAACAATTATCAATAAGTAAAGTGTTATAACAATGACATGTGATGGTGATTATGGCATTGTTAAATGGGTGGTGTGTAGGAGAACATACCAATTGAGGAAGTCTTTGAGCAGCTAAAATGTACCAGGGATGGTTTGTCATCAGAGGAAGGAGAAAATAGACTCCAAATCTTTGGCCCCAACAAGCTTGAAGAGAAAAAGGCACGAATTTTCTTTTGCTTTGAAGTCGCTATTTCTAATTGTAATTTAAATTGTGCACATAGTATTAGTGATATTAAATTTGTATTCACCTAATCTATTGGATACAAATTCCTAATAGGAGTGCAAGCTTCTCAAGTTTTTGGGTTTTATGTGGAATCCTCTATCATGGGTCATGGAATGTGCTGCCATCATGGCCATTGTTTTGGCAAATGGAGGGGTAACACTATTGATCAATTCTCTCTCTCTCTCTCTCTCACATGCACACACAAACTGAATAAGAACTTGAATTATGTAGGGCAAGCCTCCAGACTGGCAAGACTTTACCGGTATAGTTGTGCTGCTCATTATCAACTCAACTATCAGCTTCATTGAAGAAAATAATGCAGGCAATGCTGCTGCTGCCCTTATGGCCGGTTTGGCTCCTAAAACCAAGGTACTTCTTCATCCTCACTCATCTACATACCAAACTTTGGTGAATCCATTAAATTCAAATGGTGGGCCATGTTGTGAATTCGATGAAGGTGTTGAGAGATGGAAAATGGAGTGAGCAGGAAGCATCAATCTTGGTTCCAGGAGATTTGATTAGTGTCAAGTTGGGTGATATCATTCCAGCTGATGCTCGTCTCTTGGAAGGGGATCCCCTTAAGATCGACCAATCAGCCCTCACTGGCGAATCATTGCCCGTGACAAAACACCCAGGAGATGGAGTGTTCTCTGGTTCCACTTGCAAGCAAGGTGAAATTGAGGCTGTGGTCATTGCCACTGGTGTCCATACCTTCTTTGGCAAGGCTGCCCACCTTGTTGATAGCACCAACCAAGTGGGTCATTTCCAGAAGGTATTGCTCTTCATTGTGATCTTGAGTTGAAAATTATGTGATTAAGTTATGCATAAAAAAGTGTCAACCCTTGTAAATTGTTTGATGATCATTTGATCAGGTATTGACTTCTATTGGGAACTTTTGTATTTGCTCCATTGGAGTGGGTATGGTGATTGAGATCATAGTGATGTACCCAATCCAAAATAGGAAATATAGAGAAGGAATTGATAATTTGTTGGTGCTTCTCATTGGAGGGATCCCAATTGCCATGCCAACAGTGTTGTCTGTGACAATGGCCATTGGATCTCACCGACTTTCACAACAAGGTGCCATTACCAAGAGGATGACTGCAATTGAAGAAATGGCTGGGATGGATGTGCTTTGTAGTGACAAGACAGGGACCCTCACCCTCAACAAGCTCACAGTAGATAGGACCTTGATTGAGGTTGGTAATCAAAATGAATTTACATAATTTTCTGAGGCAAAGAAATAAGTGCAAAGCTTTTATACTCTGAAATTTAGACTAATATGACCAGAAAGCATTAGAAATTATGAAGGTGTGCACTTATGATTGTAGGTGTTCCCGAAAGATGTTGATAAGGACATAGTTGTCTTGCTTGCTGCTAGGGCTTCTCGGATTGAAAATCAGGATGCCATTGACGCTTCAATTGTTGGGATGTTGGGTGACCCTAAGGAGGTATTTGACTAGACCGTCATTTTCTAAACTATGATAGGTCATGCTAGTCTAATTATTTACACTACCAAGTTATTGACTAAGCGTTTTTTGTGTTGCTTACTTGCAATGCTGTTAGGCAAGAGCAGGAATCACAGAGGTGCATTTCCTACCCTTCAATCCGGTGGAGAAGCGCACTGCAATAACCTACTTTGACTCTAATGACAATTGGTACAGAACTAGCAAGGGTGCTCCTGAACAAGTAAGATACTCCTTGTCCTTTGAAGCAATTGTGCCAATGCAACATTATGTTCCCAATATCTAAGGAAATCACAATTTTACTAGATCATTGATCTTTGTGACCTCAAAGGAGATGTCAGGAAGAAGGCCCTTGAGATCATTGACAACTTTGCTAACCGTGGCCTCCGTTCTCTAGGTGTTGCGAGACAGGTGACAATGCCTATTACAAGTTCATAATATCTTTTTGACAATCAAGGTGAATTTTTCTAACAAGTTGAATATGATTTCATGTTTTGTGTTTATAGACGGTCCCAGAGAAGACCAAGGAAAGCGCTGGAGGGCCATGGGAATTTGTAGGCCTCTTGCCCCTCTTCGACCCGCCTAGGCATGATAGTGCTGAGACCATCCGTAGGGCCCTTGACCTAGGTGTCAGTGTTAAGATGATCACAGGTGACCAGCTTGCCATTGGAAAAGAAACTGGTCGTAGGCTTGGCATGGGTACCAACATGTATCCCTCATCCTCCCTTCTTGGCCAGAGCAAGGATCAGTCTATCTCTTCCATTCCTATTGAGGAGCTCATTGAGAAGGCTGATGGCTTTGCAGGAGTCTTTCCCGGTAATTATCTTATACCAAATTTAAGCTACATACTAATGTGTTAGGTTGAGTTAAACAAGGAAACTAATGTCAATTTTGGCGTAATGCAGAGCACAAGTATGAGATTGTTAAGAAGCTGCAAGAGAGAAAACACATTTGTGGAATGACTGGAGATGGGGTAAATGATGCCCCGGCACTTAAGAAGGCAGACATTGGTATTGCTGTGGCAGATGCAACTGATGCAGCCAGGAGTGCATCTGACATAGTTTTGACCGAGCCAGGGCTTAGTGTGATTGTGAGTGCTGTGCTGACAAGCAGAGCCATCTTCCAAAGGATGAAGAACTACACAATCTATGCAGTTTCGATCACAATTCGTATTGTGATGGGATTTATGCTCATAGCTCTTATCTGGAAGTTTGATTTCTCACCTTTCATGGTCCTGGTCATTGCCATCTTAAATGATGGAACCATCATGACCATCTCTAAGGATAGGGTGAAGCCATCCCCAGTGCCAGACTCATGGAAACTCAAGGAAATCTTTGCCACTGGCATTGTCCTAGGAACCTACCTTGCTCTCATAACTGTAATCTTTTTTTGGCTTGCAGCTGACACTGACTTCTTTTCAGTAAGTTTATTTATCCACACTAAATTGACCAAAAAAAGAACACAAACTGAAAATAAATATTAATCCGAAATTTACCATTTGTAGAAAACTTTTGGTGTTAGATCAATCAGAGGTCATACAGATGAGCTCACTGCTGCTTTGTACCTTCAAGTGAGTATTGTGAGCCAAGCGCTCATCTTCGTGACCAGGTCACGAAGCTGGTCACTCATTGAACGCCCTGGTCTTTTGCTTGTTGGTGCCTTTCTTGCAGCTCAATTGGTAAGCCTTATAGGAGTTTCATTTCAATTTTTCTGAAAGGCGGTTTTACTGATTCTTTTGTTGCACTTGATCATAAACAAATTTTTCCCCTAATGTTGGTTGTTTCTCAATGTAGGTAGCAACCGCTATTGCTGTGTATGCAAACTGGGAATTTGCTCGCATCCAAGGCATTGGATGGGGATGGGCCGGTGCCATTTGGGTCTTTAGTGTCGTTACCTATTTCCCTCTTGATGTCCTCAAATTCATCATTCGCTATGCATTGAGTGGAAAGGCTTGGGATAATATGATTGAAGACAAGGTTAGCTAAGAAGATTTGTGACAATACCAAATTCCTAGAACACCATAACTACAAAACATTACTTTTTGATTTTTGGAACATACCGTTTTTTTTAAATGACCTAGGCTACTTTCACAACCAACAAGGATTATAGTAAAGGTGAGAAGGAGGCACAGTGGGCCTCAGCTCAATGTACACTTCATGGCCTTCAGTCTACAGAATCTCAAGGTACACTTCAAAGCCATGAGTTGTCTGAGATTGCTGAGCAAGCTAAAAAGTTGCTAGGTACATACATAACCGCAGTCTAGATCGATTAAAAAAAGGAAACAAAAGAAAATAGTTAACAAACTTTCAAAATATTGCTTGGCAACTCTATTGGACATGTCCTATCATAAGTTCAGAAAACTTCTACAATAGATTAGTCACAATAAAGCCCAAATTTTATGCAGTAGTCAAAAACTGATGTTTATTTTTAGATAAATTTTATTAATGTTACACTATTTTGCATTCTGTCATTTTTATGGTTTTGTAGGTTAAGGGAGCTTCATAGACTTAAGGGACATGTTGAACCAATTGTGAAGCTGAAGGGATTGGACATTGAAAATAGCCAACAACATTATACCGTTCAACACCAAGGATGGTTGAACAATTTGATATATGATAGAAATGGTGGAGAAGTGCAAGTGTAGAAGGGGAATTTTCTTTTCAAACCTTTCTGTTTTTTCATAACAAAAGATTAGAGGTGTTGGGAATGTTAGATGAGATTTGTTTTAAATGAAAAGAAGAGTTTTAGCAATGAAATGGACTCAAAAAATTAGTTACTACTATTGTATATGCAATGGCTTGAAAAGTAATCTTACTCACATCAAAACGGGACGAACCATTAGTTAATTAGTCAAATAGCTAATTCTGAAGTCTAGAAATCCACTTGATATGGGCAATGTGAATACTAAAACCAAAGGTTCAAAAACTGGAGTCACCACTTCATTTTAAGGTCCAAAAACCAATGACTCCGAAATAAGGAAATAGTCCGTCATCATCGAAGAATTTGGCTTGAGAGCTTTGTTACAAGATGGAAAGGTGTTAGGCACCCATCTTGCCACATATGGTCAACATTTACTCGTCTTCTCTTTAATTCTTGCTATTAAAACTGTTAAGTAAAATACATGAATGATGATTTATACAACACTTATATATAGCTTAGACAAGGAAATAGGTAAATCCAAGATGATACATTCTCTAACAAAAGAGAATGTTGTATTTATTCAGAAAAAATGTTTTCAAGTGACAAGATCCAATTTTAGAAAAAGAAAGAAGTTCATATCAGTTAACAATATAATAGGACAAAACTCCAATCTTGCTTATTTCGTTGATTATCTTACGCTGTGTTTGGTTGGGGGATTTGGGAAGGGAAATGGAAAGGGAAATGGAAAGGGAAATGGAAATGAAAGGAAAAGGAGAAAGAATTAATAGAATTCCAAATCCCAACTATGTTTGGTTGTGTTGGTTATAAAATAGAATTGATGTCCTAAAAGGTATCCTATTTCTTTATTTATTTCTCACCCCCTTTCTTTTCCCATATATTTTTTATTATAACCAAACATAAATAGGATTACATTTCTCATTCCTTTTCCAAATCCCACCTCAAAAACTCCAACCAAACACAGCATTAGTGTTTCCCACAAAACACATAAAAATGATAAGGCATCCACAAAATTTAGGAAAGATAGGGGGGGAAAAAAGGGAAAAACCATCTATCTAGCAAGCCATAAATAATAAAACAACCATCCACAAAATTTTGGAAAAAATAGAGAAGAGAGAAGAGGGAAATAATTTAAAGATTCAACTAGTCATACAAGCCAATCACAACCCTAAAAATTAAGTAGGCTGTAATGATTGCCAAGTTACTGAAAAGGAATCCTCAAATTATTTTTTTACATCATGTTCTCACAATAAATTAAAAAAAAAAATGTAGCAATAAATCCCTAATATTTTAAGTTTATTTAAGAGAACATACAAAATAATATGACTACTTCAATAGTAATGCAATAATACTACCAATTTAACTGCATATAATGTGCATTACCAAGCCAATGGTGGTTTGATCCCAAGCATTATAACAAATATAAAAAAAAATGAAAAATAATCTAAGAATTACAACCATACTAAGATGAACAAAGTGATCACATAAAAAAAGAACTGGACTAAATAAACTGTCTACATAAACAACACAAACAACCCAATTACATCTACACTTAGATAGAGAGTAGAGAGGGATTAGGTCATAAGTAACACAACCAATCCAAAAGTGGAATAATCACATTACAGACCTTTTATTTTCATGAAAGAAGAAGATGGAGAAGAAGAATGAAAAAGAAGAAGAAAAAGTATAATATTATAGAAAACTAAGTGCAAAGTTGTAGGCAAATGTATATGCAATCATACCAAGGATGATCTGATTACATATGGGTTGGGTTGTAAACATCCATAGTAACAGAATAACTAAAAAGAAATAACAAAATTACTAAACTAACCTATACCTTAAAATAAGAACAATAAAACATAGAAGAATCGAAAAACTAAAAACCTACTAACTTTTAGACACAACCACCATGGGAAATGCCTCACTACCCTCAGATCCTCTTTCTCCAAAGAGGAACTTCCAACACACCTCCAAGTGAATGCACCTAAGATGAACTAAGATGCACAATGCCCTTTTATGAATTCATGAGTTGGAAGAGCTTTCTTAATTGGATATTTGAATGATGGAATGGGTTATTTAAATAGGCATCTAGAGATAGAGTTTGGAGGCTCAAAAAATGATGCAAGACTTGGGAAAAACATGTTAGGGTTTCAATTGTTGCACAATCGGAGGCCAAAATAGGAAAATGTGCCTCCGTAGAAGAACTGAACAATATAGCTGATCCTATGGTTCCAGAGGATTAGTTTGGCCATCTCTTGTCCTACTTGAGAGACAAGTTGTATGGTATCTCCCTAGAGGGTATCCGAGAATGCCTGACAATTTAAACCCCCGTCTGGTTTTACGAGTGCAATGTGAAATGAAATGAGAGTCATTTGGCAAATCCATAAAAAATCACTAATCAAACGAAATGCCAAACTTGGAGGCACCACCTAATTTTTGTAAAAAATTAGGAAACTCATGACTCATGCCAAAGACCATCATCCGTCACAACCAAAGTGTCTCGGTTCGGAAACTTAAGTATGAGGGGGGGAAGGTCATGAATTGAGCACTCCTGCTCACCCGATGAAAGATCAACCTCTATTAATTCACAATATTAGATTCACTACCAAGATATGCTTATGTTCTGATTATTAATGTTACTTTACTAGATGGAGCAAACAAATATAGACTAAATCACTTGTCTTGGAACACTTTGATCTCATGTGTTTTGAAAAGGCTTCAAAATGTGCAAAGTTTACATGCATAAAGATCAAGATCATCCCAAATCAAGCGAATAAGCCTACACCCACTGACAATCAAAGAGGTATCTTAGATAAGCACATATTTACATGGTTGAATACTAGATACAATAAAGAAAAGAAACACACACAAGCAAGATGTCAAGATGAAAGAAGCTCACCTAATATTCCTCCGCACTCGCAAAGTGCAAAAATATTAGAAAACGTGCACGATCCTAGATGTGATAGGCTAATGGAAGTACATACGCAAGAATGCAACTAAAGACTTGGCTACTAGAATATGACATGTGAACCATCGCAAGGCATGGTTTTGCACACAAAATCACATAAGAAATTATAAAACACTAAGTAATAATGAGTTAAGCCTTAATGCATGAAAAATGAATGCAAAACATGTAGATGATGAATAAATAAATTTGATACCAAGAACAATCTGGAAAGCCCAAAATAAAAGGGAAAAAGAAGGGATAAAAGAGAAAGATGAATATGCCTACATTTAAACTAAAAGAAGCAATCTAGCAAAAATGATGGGAACAACTACAAGAAGAATATGAAATCTAAATGGATTAATTACACTAACAAGACTATACCAAACAAAAATATAGAAGCTATCAAGCAAAACAAGCTAAGAAACAAAGTAAACCAAACCATGTCTTAAGTCCCATCAAATGGGGTCGGTTGTATGAATCCTTCTTCTCCACTCGATTCTATCTGAGGCCATTTCGTTAGTCAAATTAAAGAGATTCATATCTCTATTTACAATACTAGTCCACATTAATATAGGTCTACCCTTTGATAACCCTGTCCCATGTTATGTTAATTAATCTTAGTTATGATTGTGGTTATGTGCTTAATATGATTTTGAGTGCCACTTATATGATTATGTATGTGTTTGAATTCTTATCTGTTCGCCATAGGAATCTGTTTAATTTTCTACTATAGAATTTAAATTGAAGGCCGTAAGGACTTCAGAAAGTAAAATTGACTGTATTTTTGTACTTAGCATGATTTTTAGAACTTACGGTGAAATTAATTAAAAATTGATTCGGGTGAAAATAATTAGATTCAATATGATTAAATTAGAGCATCATTACTTAGTCTTAATCAATTTGATTAGCTAAGCCTATAAATAGGCCTATATACATTCAAATTCCTTTTTTTGAACTCATCTTGGTTGAAACCACATTCTAGAGTGAGAAAGGGCCGGTTTAGAGAGAGAAAGAAGCCATCCTTGTAGATTTTTGCAAGAGAATTCAAGATTTGAAAGGCTAGGCTCAAGAACTAGCTAGGAATTGGAAGATTGGAGCTTCTAGGTGAGTAATTAGATATGAATTCATGAGTTTGAGTTGTAATTATGTGAACTCAAAGATAAATTGTACTAAAAAACATGAATTGAGTTGAATTTGATGAATTTGAAGTTTGTATGTACATACATGTAAAGAATTGTCATGAGTTTGCATATTTGAGTACAAACATGCATTTTATGATGAATTGAAGGCTATTTGGCACATGTAAGCATGAATTATCATGATATGAATCTCAATTTTAAGGATTTATGTCATCAATTGCACATGCAAGCATGGTAATGTTGAGTTTCATGAAGTTGATCATCATTTGTACTATTTAAGTTAAAAATGAAACCTATATTTCACATGTATGTATAATTCAAAATGATATGGAAATTAATTTGCATGAGCTTTGAAGATATGAAGTTTGATAACTTGTGTTATGAAGTTGTCAAGAAGAATATGAAATGATTTGGGGGATTTGAATCATGATTTTGGACAAATTAGACTCAATTTGCCTATGTTCTCATGTTGTATAAAGATTTCCATGATTTTGTACTAAAAACATGAGTTTTGAACATTTGAAGATGTGTTTTGAGACTTAAACAGAATTCTGGAAAACCCAGAATTCAACCTGTCTACTCGAGCGTGGAAAGTCTCGCTCAAGCGTGAAAACTTAACTTCTAGATATGCAGAAAATTACATGGTGGCTCGAGCAGCCAAAGATGTGATCGAGCGTACCCAGTTTTGCAAGACTTCTCGCTCGAGCGTAAATTGAAAACAACCAGAACTTTTGCAGACCAAAGGAGTCCGCTCGAGCAATCAAAGCTGCGCTCGAGCGGAGAGCCCTGTTTCTGAAATTTTGAAAGGTTGTTTTAAGATTGGTTTTCCGTTCTCTTTCATTTCTAAGCACTCTTAGGCATACATTGAGCATTGCAATCGACCTAAAAGGATAAAGAAGAGGCCTAAGAGAGATAAATAAATTAAGAACGGATTGAACTGTTTGTGACCCAATATGTTATGTAATGTGTAGGGTCAAGCGCAAGGGCAAATCTTTCGGCGGAACACTGTGAGTAATATCTTAATAAATACATGTTCAA